ACGGTTTAGCTGGTATTTATTTTGTATGCTGTTGTATGAAGATACTCAGATATTTATTGGGAGTGATGGAGATGTAGTCTGAGATTCAAGGCTGAGATGGTTTGCAGAGGAGGGATAGTGGATAATTTGAAAAGGGATGTTGGAGATGGAGCTGCCAGGTAGGAGAAAAAAGGGAAGACCACAGAGAAGTTTTATGAATGTAATGAAGGCGGAGATGCAGAGGGCTGGTGTGACAGAGGAGGATGCTAATGACAGGATGAGGTTGGGGCAGATGATCCACTGTGGCGACCCCTAATGGAAAGAAGAAGATGATGCTACAGCAATAGACAAATCACAATATAATTACTAACAGGGCTAATGTTACAGTCTTTCTGCTTCTCTTTTGCTCTTTACTGCGTAACTCTAAGAGAAGGGCTTATTTACAAATGTTTCTTTTCCCACAGAACAAACATTAGAAGCTGTACAGGCAGTTAATGTTGAGCAGCTTCAATAGAAGCTGCAGGTTTTGCCACAGTGTCGTGAAATTAATACATTTGTTTAGCATCCAAGCCCAGCCTCAGGGGGTCACCAGCTAGTCCTTGTCCTACTCCTACAGTCCCAAGCACAGGAGAGTTGAGTCAGGAAGGGCTTTGGATCTGTACCTGATCAACTAAGTGGGTCCCTCTGCTGTGATGACCCACTGGGAATAAAGGAGCAATCAAAAAAGCATCCTTGGCTTTGCTGTATAATACACAATCGACCGCAGATCTTTGGTTTTGTTTTTGTGTGAGGTCTATTAGACAGCTATGCTATTTATGTACGTAACCAACGCTGCCTCACTGTCGACAGAGCAGGGTGAAAATAGGCAGCATGAAAATATAAAAGCATGCAAACCTATTTCAGTAAATCCGCAAAATAAAATAAGCCTGCAGATGTGCGTAAAATGAGCACTTTAAAAAAAAAGTGTTCCTTGTGCTAAACATTCATAAACATGAGTGTAATTAAAATTCAGCTCTCTATCTTTGGTACAGTCTGTGCATGAAACATCCAATCACAGATCTCCGATCAGCTAAACTGATGCAAACCTGATCCCCTAAGATTAGCTCGCTGAAGATATTTCACAATGTTCGATTATTTTTAACAAGCTGTTACGTCTCGCGCCAGTGTGTTGAAATGGGGACTGACATTAGGTTTTTTTGGAAAGAACATTTTCCCACTTTTTTCTAACACCCACTCGTGCGAAATGAAACTGAGTTCAGGCTCGTTGTCAGGGTGGGATCTGTGCTGCAGGAAGTCATTTAGTTCAGCAGTGGAAGGTGAAGAAGCCTGAGAGAAGGACCACTGTTACTAAACTAAAGATGATGAATCCCCAAAAGAAATAAGAAAAAAAAGAAAATACTAAAAGCCAAAACTTAATATAGTATTGATTTTATATTCTGATATACTGTGAAAGTGTCCTCTGGCCACGGTGGGCAATTTTATTAACCTTTTTTCTCTCTCTGCCTCAGCCCTAGCAGCCAGTGGTGGCCACCTACCTCTTTCCACTCTTGAGGGTGGGAGCAAGGTGATGCTGGGGGCATCCGGGGGTCAAGGGGGGGGCATCCCCTCCTCCCTCTTCCTCAACCACCCCGCCCTCCTCCACATGGGCCAGAATCCCAACGCCGGACTGGTCAGCACCGTGGTAGCCAAAGTCTCCCAGTCCTCGCCCTTCCCCTCGGCCAGCAGCATCAGCCCCACACCCTGCTCCCCCTCTCCCTGCTCCAGCCCCGCCTCTTCCTGCTCCTCCAGCGAAATGGCACACAGCCCGCCCTCTCTGGGCGGGGCCAAGATCGAGTGACCCCCAACAAGGGCCAATCAGAGAGGAGGAGGAAGGAGGATACTATAACCTCGCCTTTCACACCAAAGCTATCTCTTTCTCTCTCTTGTGCTCTTCTTTCGTTATTTTTCTTTTCCTCAATGGCTCTCTCTCTCCTTCTCTCCCAGTCTTTCGATGCCAAAAATACACAGAATGAAAGAGGAGAGATGGAGGGAAAGAGGTGAAAGAGGGGAGAAGGGAGAGAAAGGAGAAGATTGAAACCAAAAATCTTTATCTATCCAAAAAAAAAAAAACCAAACAAAGATGGAAAGGAGGCAACGTGGGACCTTTTTGTCAAGAACACGTGATGTCGACACGGCACCTCTCCACTCTTTCTCTTTGAAGGAAAGCAAATCGATGACTCTTTAACAAAGAGATGGTAGAGGTGCTCGTCGAAGTGCATAAACCAAAAATGACAAAAGAAAAACTTTACTATATGACAAAGGAATGGCGCAAGGACAAAAAAAATGAAGAAGAGGAGGACTTTGCTTTCTTTTTTTATTGTTGTTATTATTAATAAGAAAAGCTGCGGGTCTGAAGGAAGAGGAGTGGGGTGGATACGTTTAAACCAAAAATTTACCTGAGGAGGCGGCGGAGGAGGAATACACAATGACAAAAAACAAAAAAAATCCCAAAAAATCGACAACCATACCAAAATCACAAATACCAAAAACCAAAAATACGGAGAGAAAAGCTTTATTCAAAGGACGTGTAAATACTGAAGCTATCCAGGACCAGGACTCTACTGCTACTTTCACACAACATACATACACACACACACATGCACACACACGCCCATCCATTCTGCATCGACTCATCATGTCTGCGTCTGCTCATGTGTTTCCTATAGGTTTGCATGTTGGATTACTTTGAGTGATTTTCAAATATCTGCTGTGTAAAAGCTCATATATGATTGTATGATATGTTTGTCAGCCCTGCTGTATCTTCATGTGTGTTTAAGTCTCTTTACCTACCTCTGGTCGCAAGAGCATAGGATAGTTTGACTTTAACTTCATAGCAGGCCTGACATGTTTTACACTTTGAGAAGATTTTTTTCTTTTCTTTTCTTTTTTTTTTTTTGTTAACTATTTATTAGTGCCATTATGAACGGTTTAGCTGGTATTTATTTTGTATGCTGTTGTAGTGTTAGCTTTGGAGTGTGAGTCATTGTCATTGTCATCGTCATCTTCAGGGTTTCCGCCAGAACAGAGAACAAAAAGCTGTCGGGTCCAGCTGGGGATTTAAGGTGGCACTCGGTTAAAGGTGGCGCTCAATGGCTCCTCGCCCGCCGTCATGCACGGCCTACTGGCAGGACAGCAGGACTGTGTAGGTGCGGCTTTTGCTATTTCTGTGCCGATGGTGAGAAAACGGGAGAAAGGGAGGCACAGTGCATTTCTCTCTCCTCTTAACATGAAAATAAAATAATGTAGGCTATACCAGCGGGAGAGCGCGGTTAACCTTGTTTACATAACCAAAAAAAAAAAAAAA